TTTAATAGCTCTATAAGTCATTAAAAGAGCAAGAGTTAAGAAATTTAGCTGTGGAGTCTAAAAATCGGTTGTTTTAGTCTTATTTATACTCTAGAGATACCACAATTTCAATTAAAACATTTAATGAACTATGGTGAACTATGGACTGAAGCTGGTTTGTGTTAACATGAACTGTCGACCACCATGAATATTCAAAACAATTTTGGGTTATTTTGTGATATTTTGTGGTATTATGTGGGACTCTATTATGTGGGATTTCCAAAATCCAATAAGGCATTTCACAAAATACCACAAAATGCCCCTTGGCTTCCCCCCTTAGATTAACATAATTGTTTATATTTGACAATATAATCCAAAATACATAGATCCCAGCCTCAAAAATTGATCATAACTCATAAGGCTTGAACTTACTTCCTTCTCAGAAAAAGATAAAACAGAGATTTTTCTCAGAAAAGGAAGTAAGTTCATCTAGTATGAAAAATTAGCTCAATTATTTGACATAAAAATGATTATTTCTAAGCATATGGACGGCTGAAAGCTTTAATTTTTCTGACTAATTAAAATTTGACTAATTATTGATAACTCAACGTGTTTAATTTCGATCTTACGCAAAAATGAAGCGGAGAAAAAACCAAAAACGCAAAAATCGTAATATCTCGAAATGGCGACGATGGGCTTGCTTCCTTTTCTGAGAAAACGGCAGTATTGGTGTGATAACACACATTACTGGGTACCGTAAACCCTAAGATCCGATAAATACAGGCTCTATTAGTCTATTGTATTAAGGATTGATGGGATGAAGTGAGATATTTGGATTTTGGAGGATGAAAAGTCACATACCATCCTGATATTTTCTGGGATAAAAATATAAGATACGAGAAACAATGTCGGACTGCAATATTAATTAAGTAATTGGCGAAAAGTTTTAAACTTGTTTTTTGTTACATTTTGCCGAGAGTAACCCATATTATGTTACCATCGTGTCAGGAATGAAATAAGTAAAGACGTGTTGAACTTAGCTAGACTGAAATACATGGCAGGCTATAATTTGTAGGCAATACACAGTATTAGTAGGGTATATTAAGCGATAAATATTCTCAAATATGTAAAATATTTAATTTCTCGGTTCAAATACCAGAGCCTGTGTGGTGTTTAGTTTAGGGTCCGTAGAATTTAAAGGTTTGCGTACAGTAAATTCTTCTGAATAATGTACTTAGCAGGTAATGAGGTTATAATATGAGGTTATATGAGGTTTAAATACGTTATACCCTGTAGGCTACACTCCTTGAACAAGGAGACCCTTATAACAGGAACCTATTTACCAAATATTAGGAATATTATTATAATAATAATAATAATAAGTAGGAATTTATACATCGCTTTATAGCCATAAAGAACTCAAAACCCAAAGATTCAGTTCAAACCATCTAAAGCGACTCATGAGTAACATGTACATAAGAACTTATTTTTATGAAGTATGGATTTTATGAGAAAGGTAATACATGATACTTATACAAATACGTTTTCAAAGAGATGAGTTTTTAGTTTCTTTTTAAATAAGACGATATCGGTTAGTGTTCTCAGTTGATAAGGAAGCTTATTCCAAACAGAGGGTCCGCAGTAGCTGAAACTTCTCTCGGTTTTACTATAGTTTGAAATAGGAGGAACATTTAGGAGGAAATAGTCTTCTTCAGTTCTTAGTACACGTACAGGTTGACTTTTGATGTCAATACATTTGATGATATACTCCGGCGCTATGTTGTTAACGCATTTGAACACGGTTAGAGCAATCTTATACTCTATTCGTTGTCGTATCGGAAGAAAATGGGCTTTTTTCAGGAATGGAGTGACACTGTCCCATTTTTTGATAGCTTTCCAACCAAACAAGAATCGAACACAGGAATTTTGTACCTTCTGGAGTTTCTTTATTAGAAGATCAGGTAAACCGTATAAGAGTCCATTGCAGTAGTCTAGTTTTGAAAAGATCAAGCAGTGAATGAGCTGTCTTTTTAGATCGTAGTTAAGCTTTGAGCCTATAACTCGAAGGTTTCTCAGATGGATGTTGCAGCAACTGATAATTGAATTTATTTGGTCTTCAAATGTTAGGAATTGATCAAATAGGACACCTAAACTTTTCACTGTGCGGGATGCATCCACAGGGTCAGCTGCATTGTCAAGCTGTATTGAATCGACCGGACACGAAGAGTAACTGTTCTTGGTCTGTACTACAAGAGCTTCTGTTTTGTTTTGGTTCAGTTTGAGTTTATTTTGGGTCATCCAGGTCTTAATATCTTCAAAACAATTTGTTATTCTCTCTTCGATTGTTGAGAGATCTCGAAATAGTGGGTTAAACTCAATGTACAGTTGAGTGTCATCTGCGTACATGTGGATGTTAAATCCATGTCTCTTTGCGATCTGATTGAGCTCCTTTGTGTAAAGTATAAACAGAATTGGACCTAGAATTGAACCTTGCGGGACTCCAATTCTAAGGAAGCATCTCTTTGATCTTGATTTATCAATAGTTACTGTGAAGGATCTGTTATTAAGGTATGATGTAAACCATTCGAGAACAGTACCTTCAAAACCAAAGTCCCTTTTTAGTTTTTTTAGGAGCAAGTGATGATTTACAGTATCAAAAGCAGCACTGAGGTCCAAAAGGAGGAGGATAACCTTACTTTTCATGTCACTGATACAAAGAAGATCATTGTAGATGGTAAGGGTCGCAGTTTCGCAGCTATGATTTGACCTATAACCACTTTGATGCTCAGCATGAAGATTGTGATAGTCAAGATGTTTGGTCATCTGTTTCTGGACGCTCTTTTCAATGAGTTTCGAGAGGAAAGGTAAGTTACTAATCGGTCTATAGTTGTTGAAGCTATTGACATCTCCTTTATCATCTTTGATGGCTGGTCTGACAAGAGCACTCTTTAGGACTGACGGAAATTTTCCAGTGACAAGTGAGTCATTGATAATAAATGACACAATTGGTTTAACTTCATTAAAACACTGCATTAGAAGTTTTAGAGGGATGGGATCCTCTTCACATTCTTTTTTGTTAAGGTCAGAAAGAATCTTTTTGAAATCATTGTCGCTTATGGTTTCAAATTGGCTCCAGGCTTCACCTTGAAATGGTTCAGAGTGGTCAAGAAGAATGTCAGCTGCAGTATCATTGTTAATGGCAGAGTAAATCTTTTCCACTTTATCATTGAAAAACTCTTTCATCTCCTCACATAGAGTTTCAGCAGGTTTGTTATTAGGCTTCAAGTTTTTAGATATGTCCCGATCCATCAGCTGATTGACTATTTTGTAGGTATCTTTTTTATTGTCCTCACAGCTTTGCAGACGATTTTCATAGTATAGCTGTCTAGTGGTGTTTATAACTGCCTCGGCATGCTTAACAGCTTTTTTATAGTCTAATTTTGAATCTGCAGTTTTAAGTCTCCTGTTGTCACGTTCAGCTTTTCTTCGTTTCCTTCTGGCAGTTTGACATTTTGTGTCCACCCACTTGCTTTGATCAGGATTAATGCTAAAACAGATAAGGGGAGCATGTTTATCAAGAATTCTGCGAAGTTCTTTGTTATAGAGTTCCGTGGCAGAGTTGCAGTCAATAAACTTGTTGGGGTCATTTATGTCAGATAGCAACAGATCCTCCTTAAAAAGATTTATGTCTATATCTGATATCTTTCTGCCCACCATATCTTCTTTGTTGCTTCCTTTGTGGTGAGGAAAGGCAATAGAGAAATTTACGAAGTAGTGATCTGATGTTGTTACTGTTTTAGCTACATCTATATCTTTTATGTTCAACATATCACACGCATTGCTTCTAGTAAGAACAAGGTCTAAGATTCCACCCCCAATGTGTGTTGAACTGGAAATATGCTGGATGAGGCCATAGTTTGATATGAGATGGATAAAATTTATCGTATCAGGATCAGTGAGGTCTTCGACATGGATATTGAAGTCTCCAGCAATGATCAGTCTACCTGGAAGGTGAGTTAGACTGTCAAGATATTCATCAAATTCCCGTAAAAAGTCTGTCATTTTGGACATTTTAGCCGTACAAGATCGATAGACACAGCAGAAACGAAGAAGGTCATTGGAACTTGACTTCAGCACACTCTCAACATGTTCAAAGGATTTATGGGTCTTTGTAGGGCGTTTATTGAAGCTAAGATCTTTCTTAAAGGCAATAGCGACACCACCTCCTCTACCAGCTCTAGATTGGTGAACAATATTATAGCCTAGGTCTTTAATTTCCGCTATTTTTGACGTATCTCCCTTACGTAGCCAAGTTTCTGTCAGGAAACAGGCATTGATATTGGAGTCAGACAGTTGCTCAAATACTTGTGCAGTTTTATTACATAGTGACCTTGTGTTAAACAGTCCGACATTTAGGTTGAGAAGCGTAGTCTTCACATGTTTTTTGAGTACTCTGTTCTTTGTCTAAGACTCTCTTTCTCCAGCATTATTATGGGACAGTTTTCAGCACCAGAGTGATGGGTGTTACAAGATAAGTATTTAGTCTAGGAATATCCCAAACATTTAATCTCTCAGTTCGAATACCAGAGCTGTTATTAGGAGGAGAGGGCTAGACAATCTCCAAGATACGTAATATTATGAGAAATGAGGAGGTAAGCTCGCTAGTACAGCTTCTCCTTCCCAGACTCTAATTCGTGGTACCCACCCACTGGGACACACTGGTTTTGTAATGTGAAATGTAATGCATTATTGTGTGGTACATAATGTCCCTTAGTCATGTGTGTTAGTGATGTCAGTCTAATTTTACAGGTTTCCCGAACGTCTGCGCTTAATGCCTTTACTTTCCCATGGAGCAAATTAGGGGAGTCGAGCTCGGGTGGCTTGTTCAATTAAAGTAAAACGTAATTTCATAAAATAATTAGAATAACTGTTAAATAAAATGTAATATTGTGATAATAATCCTAGATGATGCAATCACTCCAACAAAATCACAAACTTGAAAACACAAAAACTTGTCTCACCTTCTGAAAGTCGGAGAAAGGACCAATCCCTTCCCCGGTTTTAGCAGCAACAGCCACCCAACAAGGCAGAGAGGTCGGGTACAGAGTGAGTTGACGGGGTTCCCTCCCCACATCCTTAAACGTGCTCTCTACTGTTGTGTTATCATCAGCTGGGTTCGTGTAGTACAGCTTTATCTGAGCAGAAGGGACGGAGATTTATGGTTAGTATAATAGATAGAGATTTATGGTTAGTATAGTATAGTACTATGTTTACAGTACACTAAAATGTAGATGTACCGAAGGGGCATTCTAAGAAGATTCTTGATCTTTTGGCAGGGCCCCTTCCTCATTTAACCCTCAATCACGTTTCCAATCATTCGGCTGAGTCGACCCGGGAGACATTACACAGATGTGTAACTCCGCATATATCCAATGGATCCTTAGCTACTCCCTAGACTAGGTGACTAACTTAGAGTTAGACTGTGTTTTAACCTATCTATGATTGTTAGCTAGCTATTTTGCGTGTACCTATTACCTAACACCATTCTGATACTTTCAACAACTTCGTTAAATCATGATTTAAATGATTTAATCTCGATTACATTTTCACAAGAAGATTTCTATTTCAGCGTTACATCAACTCTTGCGGAGTACATATCCATTTCTAGTTTCCAAGTTCATAACACAAACCTATGACAAACTATCTATCAGACTATACCCTATATAAATGTCAGAAGTGCTCCTTTATACTGTTAACGTACTATTAACAACTTCACTAGAAAGGAAGTTCAATTGTCTTGCATAACCGGGCCACATTGAGAAAATCAACCTTACTAATCTTAGTTAGGCACCTAAGTAATCTTAATAAGGAACCTAAGTAATCTTAATAAGGAACCTAAGTAATCTTAATAAGGAACCTAGGTAACCTGAACATTGAAGAATCACACACTTTGCAAGTAATGTCCCATACATTACAATATGCATGTGTAAAATAACGTAGAATAAGCAGCTCTTTGAACAGTTAGAAATGGTATATGCAGGGCCAGGGAGCGCCTAAATTACCAGAGTTGGCAAGCAATTCATCCCGTGTGATTCACTAATTGGTTATTCCCTGGATTTGTCCTGTACACAATATGATAACAAGTACACACCATGACCCATGTATACGTGGGGCCGTGTACATTTCTTTCAGGAATCCTCAAGTAGCCTGCACCTAAACACGTTCTAACACAGTGCACGTGGTTATCACGTGTGTTAGCACGTGTGTTACATTATACTGTTATTTACAAAAGTGTAGAACCGTATTATTACATTTGTACACACCACGTGACACACACATCACGTGACACACACATCACGTGACACGCACCTGATAACCAGTAAGGACTCCGTTTATATCACGCTGTCTAGGTTGAGACCACCTGATATCCATCTCCCTTTTCTCAATATCCACAAACACAGCTCGTACGTCTTGTGCAGGAGCTGATCAGAGGAATTTATAGATTTTATAGAATTTATAGTAAAATTGAACAAAATTATCATTGACGGGGAAATTCCTCAATTGTACGACGCTAAGACGTGTTTTGAATCGTGTCAAGATTGGTAGCCAGAAATTACTGAACCAAAAGAAAATAATGGTATTATCCGCGAATTAAAATGTAAACGAAAAAAAAAAACAAACAGTCAGCAACAAAAAATAGACAACACAGCGGAAACATACCAGAAGGAGCAGCCTCGTCCGTAGTTTCCTCCATAACATGAGAAGGAGGGCCCCTCCCGTGTTCATTACGACAATACATCCTGATCTGATACGTACTGGCTTCCTCTAATCCTCCAAGAGTGGAAATTGTCGTAGAAAGATCTGATAGGAATGAGGCTTTTAGTTAATTTTTAGTTCAACGTTAGTTAATTTAAGTAGATTCATTTTGGTTGAAGCTTTGTTCTCGTTAGTTCGCCATGTTGATTTTCAATATAGGTTTATTCTCAGCTCATTTAACTAATTATTTTATACCTAAGTACCGTTAGGATAAAATATGCGTATAGTAATAAATAGCCAATATGCCATGTTGATTTATGTTCACTTACATACGACGGCGAAAATTTGATCGCGTCTCTTAAAGTTTAATAATTTAATAATTTGATAACATTTCTTTTGTTCCCTACATACTGGTCTTGTAAAACAAGATAAATATCTTTGGTTTAAAGATAGCTATTCACATGATATTGTGGTAGGCAGAACTACTAAGATAGTCTGCATCTACGGTTACGCGCGACAGTAAATCGGGGTATTTGTTTAAAATAGATAATGATTTACATTTGCAATATACATACACTATATTATTATTATGTCTTTTGGAAAAACGCTTGAAGGCTGAAAACAGGTCAGAAAGACAGAAATTCCTGGAAAAGCAATTAAAATTCCACACTTCCACAGGCTGGTCACGACACCGGCCATTAAATAAAAACATATAAGGGGATCAGAACAATGAGAGAAGATCGCAGAGAAATAGTCACGTGTTTATTAGAATGCGCTTTATTGGTTCCTGATGAAGTGCTTTGTGTTCAATCTTGATATTGAATTATGTACTGCTTTTTGTACATAACCTACATAACGCAGGGGCTGCATGATATTAGAGCCTGCTCTCTTAGTCATGTACAAATACTGCAGGCTAATAAAGCGGACTTAGTAGAAGATATAAACGCACATAATTCTGTGCACGGGTAAACAATTACGTATAGAATATAGATGTCCTGACTCCTGGTTCGTTTACGAATGAGATTATTTTCAAACACTTGCCGCCTCTTACCCCGGTCCCCCGCCTCTTACCCCGGTCCCTCGCCTCTTCCCCCGGTCTCTACAGACAGCACAGTACATCTCGGTGCATGTTCATAACTCTATTTTACAACTTCTGACAGAAATAGAACAACAATTACAATGTCCAGTGACCAATATTGCCCCAGGTCTGTCAGGTCTAATTCACCATGCAACTAGTTTACAGTTGGGATAAACGGGACTAGAATTACCTTAACACTGCGCAACTGCACGAAATGAGGAGAAAATAATTAAATAATTAAATAATTAATGACTCCGACAGCACTATATTTAGTGCAGGTTTAGTTTGGAAAGCACTATATTTAGTGAATAGTTAGCTTGTAAAGCACTATATCGAACACCCCTGACCAAGGTTTAAAACATTGGTATAAAAGTGATGTTATATCCTGTAGTACTGTCGCTTTATTCAACAGCTCAACATCTAGATCTACTTACATGCTTGCTACAATATGTATGTGATAATATCTGTGTGCAAATGTGTGCATAAAAAATATTGACCTTTGTTCTTTCGCGGGCCCTCAGAATTAAGATCAATATACTAACATTAAAATTACATCTACTAGCACAAGTCACCCTGGCCCCATTATTACCTTGTCTTTCAACTTGAAGTGCTTTGTACGTGTCACCCTCATTCTTTATCCTATATTCCACATACCACTCACTAACAATATCAGAGAACTCTGGCATCTTCCATATTACTCGGATAGCAGTGGCGTTATACTGCTCCAGTCGCTCTATCGTAGGGTACACTGTAACCGCACCTGAAAGACAGTGTTATTAGAATAACAGTGTTGTTGAAAGGAGAAGGTTTAGATTATTAGTATAAAATAATGTTACCAGTTGTATGTTAGTTACTGGTCTGTGTGGTGTTGTTTTCCACGAAAGTGCTATAAGCGAGTTATAATGATGCAGATAAATTCGAAGAGTAATGAATTGCCAAGACTAGTATAATTAAAGATGGGAAAGGGGGCGGGTAGAACGAATGTTAAGTGTAAATAGGTATGTAATATTGCGAGGTAGGTATGTAATGTTGTGAGGCAGTGGGGAGGAATGTTACAGGTCCTGAGGTGGAATGTTACAGGTCCTGAGGTGGAATGTTACAGGTCCTAAGGGGAGGATGCCTGGTAATTGATAACAAGTCTCAGCCCTGTGGGGTGGAGCGGGGTGGAACATTAAATGTTACATCTTACGTCTAGTAAGGAGGAGGAGTTACGGGTAATGATCCAAGTTGCAACTTTTTGCGACATTTTAATAGCTGTGTCTTTTGCAGACGATTTGTGAGGTTATGTTACGTTTGCAGTGTATGTAAGACCAAAGGCTCTTGCCTTGGGGCAAGTACAAAAGGGACAAGGCACACATTTAACGTTTTGTGATGTATAGTTACTATAGTAACACCTGTAACAAACGATCGCTTATCAAACAATACGATTTGCAACATTCCATCACTCATAACAAGGGTTGTAGCTTATAGAGGACAATACAATCTGGTACATGTTCCCTAGTCTTCATAGGTTTATGGAGAAACGTGTTGTTATTCGCTCAATTAAAAGGATAAAAGAGTAACAGGAGCGAACTATGCTGAGGGCTATCACATTTCCCCCTTTTAATATTTTGCTTATCACAGCAAACCGAATTTTAAAAGAGTTTCCTCGTACGAAACTTACAAACCTGCTTTAGCGAGGTAGATAGAGCTGCTAGGGTCGGAGGCGATGCTCTGTCCCCCCTTGCTGACTTGAGATATTCTGAACTTGTAGCTCTGTTCCGAACGGAGACCCTCTGCTGTGTACTCCAACACATCGGCTGCAATGTCCTGAAAGAGTATTTGCGTTTGAAATCCATCTGTTACAAGACAAAGCTAATTGGGAGCAACATCATGACTTAAGTTACTCCTTTTAAAATATAAAAATCAACGAAAAATAGGCTGCAAAGTCAAACCTCCTCCCAGGGCGTCCATGTGGAATCTTCTTCCATTATCTCTAGCTTATAATACAGAGTGTCAGCATATCCCCAGAAGCCAGCCTCCCACTCCATTGTTATGGAGTCCTCAGTAAATCCAGCTATCGCTAATTTCTGGGGTTGCCCTGGTTTCTCGGCTGAAATAATTTGAATTTATCAGATTAATAAACTTGAAATAAATTGTAGCATAATTTATAACATGTTTCGAAATTAAAAACAGTATATATATATATATAGTATAGTATCTACCCAAAAAAGATGTGTCTAGAAGCAATTCATGTAAGACTTAGCATGATGATATCAAAATTATGCACTTTTATATCAGTTCAGACATGGATCAAAGAAATTGTTGAAATAGCAAAGTGTTGCCAACATTTTTTTGGCACAAGGTGTTAGGTATTCATATAAATAAACACAATATTGCTATATCCAAAAAACACTAGTAAATTCGTTATTTACAAAAAAGTTATTTTTACTTACGTTTAATAGTTATAACTGAACTTCCTGTTCCTTTATGAAAAACGTTGTCTTTAATCCCAATATATTTACATGTGTATGTCCCTATATTACTTTCTGCCATTGAAGTTATTGTGAAGAATGTACTCTGAAAAAGGAACGCTGATTGAAATGATAACAAAACAAATCTAAATTTAAATTATCATTCAAATGCACAACAACTTCCAATCTTCTATCCTGAGATAATCAAATTCAATAGACTCAACTACTGTTGCTGATGGGGAGAATTATCTTGACACATGATGTCAAATAACCAATCAGCTTGCAACAGTGTCTTACAAATATAAAATTCATAAATCATAAGTCAAAACAGACTCAGTTTAGTAAAGACTAATTCTATAGCAATGGTATATAAAGAGTCTTACCTCTATAGTCACAGTGTCCATGTTAACATCATGAGGATATTCCCAACTGATGGAACTGCCCAGCACCTCCTGGTATGCGTCATCCTGACGGGGAGTTTAGAAATTAGAAACAAATCAATACTTCTTAAAGTAGACGGCCTTTTAGACTCCCATACCAAATCTTGGGCAAATATTACGACTGTATTGCAGTTTATTAAACAACAGTCCCAGTATACTGGTGAATTTATTGGAAAGCTTTGCTTATGTATGAAACAATAGGTTTTACTTACTAAACTGCATGTTAATGTTACTGAGTCTCCGACTGGGAGCTCTTTCTCTGAGGGTACTACTACTACGTCCACAAGACCAGAACTGCTTGTTGATTTTAATGACACTGAAAATAACAAAAATAGTAAGTAAAATTTCTTGTTGTTCCATCTTATGAAAGTATTGTTGTTAACATGTTGAAATAAATGCTCTTTTTGCTAGCATTTGCAGGTAACATATTGTATTGACCCATCAATCATTATTCTACAGAAAAAAAAACAACTAATACAAGAAAACTAACCTGAAAGCAGAAGGGTGAATAATGTGACAAACTTTTGAGTCATCTGAAGACTAGCTGCATATATATCTAACCCTAATTTGTATGATATAGATTAGTAATATTGTCATATTCAACAACAAAATTAAAGCTGCCAAATTTAACATATTTTATATGTGAACAATTCTTAACCAGAGATCCCTAGCAGAGACTGGTTCTGAGTCAAAGAGGTCTTGCTGTGCCATCTTCCTGAGTGAGCGCCATCATGATCAGCAGTTAAGCTTATTCAGTGTGATATATTTTTATCACAAGGCGCAGGCTCCATTTGATGTTGAGTCAGCCAGGCAGATATCATATCTCACTTGCCAATACATCTCATTAAGTCCTTAATATAGTGCATGTTGCATTTCACCTTACAGTGATGTGGAGGCTGTCAATCTGTTGTGAAGTGAATGAAAAGGTCGAATTCTGCTTTGCAAGACAAAAGTTGATTTATTGGACTAAAACCCCCATCACACAGGATTGCACTGTAGCTGTCTGACCTATGACCTCAGAAAAACCCTTTTTTTTTTCAGTTTCTGGATCGCTAAATATATAAGTGACAGTTTTTGCCTAGGTTATTTAAAGTCACAATCAGCAAAAATTCGTATCTTTAAGACAATTCGCATTTGTTTGGCAGTTTCCAGGCACTAATAAGAAGAAAGGAATACAAATTGATACATTTCATTAAATTAAGATATGTAATTGACAGAGCACAATACTCAGACAACGGAAATGGTTCATTGCTACCAAATTTGATTAAAATCTATATTTCCATTAATAATAATAATAATAATAATTCTATACTGTTACATAATTTAAAAATTATGGCCCCTTATTGTGGGCAGAGTATGTGTCTTTATTTAAGTGTCCTGATTTAAAAATCATCTTAGTGACTGCATTAAAATAATTTAAGGAGAGTACCATAAAAACGTTAAAAGAAAAGGAGTAACAACTAGAACATACTTATATTAATATCAACATTATAGGGCAATTCCACCGTGACGGACACCACGAATTTGCTGTTTTTTAAAGTTCAAACGAATGTTGTACTCGAGATGTTGTTTATTTATCAGCTCCAACTGTTTATTAGTCCACATTTAACCTTTCTACAGGTTGTGTGAAAATTTCAGACCCCTACCATTATTACTTTCTGAGATAGCACCCCTGTGACGGACGTGACGTAAATATGACACTTTTTTTGGGTGTCTACTCAGATGGTACCCAAATTTATCTCAAAAAGTTATCTATTGTATCTAATTTGGAATTACAATGATAGAAGAAGGTTTAGGGATTTCTGAGATGCCATTTTCTTAGAGATTGCTCAATTTTTGTTTGCGTGGCGCCATTTTCAAATTGTGACAGACGTGACTGTGACGGACACACGTTTTTTTTCAATTTTTCCAAATCTTCCACTTGACACTTTTATCTTGTTCAGTGACATCTACTCTGTATTCATGCCAATTTTTAGTCCTCAAATACCCCCAAGAGGTCTGCAACAGCCAAAATCGTCCATTTTGGGCATACGCTAGGGTATCAGTCTAGGGGCATCAATTATTTCTCTACTTGAACAAATTTATAACTCTGGTAAAACATTCATCACTGTTCAACGCATCATACTGTTGAGACCATCTCCTAAAGTTTCATTACTTTAGTGTTTAAAATGTGGAAGATATTGAATTTTTACTTCAAAAATATGCGAAAATAGGGTTAAGTCCATTTTTTGTGCCTTTTACCTCTGAAAAAGTTGTAAGCAAATAAAATGGCAAAAAATCAGTAAATTAAATTATTGAGAAAAGACAATTTTTTTGAGAAAAGACAATTTTATTATTTATCACCAATTCAATACATAATCAATAAATATATATCCGAATAAATTTGATTAAAAATTAAATGATACAAGTATGCTAGCAGCTAGCGCGCTTATATTTGATAAATATTCACGCTGTTAAAATGGGTTTTACCACACCGCGCCACTCACATTAGCACAGTTGGTGAACGGACCCAGGCGCTGTTAAGCTTTTATGAGCCCTGGTTGACTGCTGAGAGTGGCGAAGGGGCTGATATTAATTTTATCTTAGTTAAACCTAGATTCTAATAAAATTTTAGTTTTGTGTTATAATTATATGATTTTTATGCGATATTTAAGTTACAACTGCTCGCAATACATTATTGCTTAAAAATTGTTAAATATGCTCGCTATACGCTTAATTTTAGATACCGTATGTATATATACATATCAGCTCATAATACCAAATAACAATAATAAATAAATTAAAAGCATTGAAGAGGTCCAAAACCAATTCAAGCATGACACAAAGTTGAATACATTTTCATCGGAAGCTGCAAGCTTATTAACGTTTGATTCCGTATGTTCATGATCCGTTATTATGCATTCACCTTCAGGCGGTGTCGACGGATCATGCGAAAAGGGTTTTTGACAGGCTGTGCCCTTACCATAATTAAACTGAACCATTGCCTGATACGATGTAAACAAGAGTGTTGGATAGGTGAGCCGCGCAAGCGCTCGATCGCGCATTTGTGTCGCTCTGACAAATAGCACTTGAATAATTTAGCTACCAAGACGTAAATCGCGCGTTACGTAAAGTATTATTATTCCCTTCGGATAAAGTGAACGTTACACCCGCGTGTAACCTGCTTTAATGTTTTGTGTGCATGTGTGGTGGAGTGAGTGTATAATGTAATGATTGAATGAATCTTTTTTCTTTTGTGGTGCATATATGATGTGAGTGACAGGTGTAAAATCTAAAATATATAAATATAAATGGGGGTCTTTTCATAGGAAAGTGTTGAATTGCATATGATGTTATTTGATAGTCTAGTCAACATAGTCAACACAATCCAACCTTATTTGACTTCTATTTGTCTTGGTTTTAGTCAAAATAATGGAAATATGGATAAAAATGGCTAAAAGTGAGCCGTATGCCCATATATGGGCATATACAAAATTATACATTACTCGGTCATTTTCTGTCCAATTTTTGATTTGACGACATAGTTTTGTTGAGGACGGCCTCAGCTTTAAGAAAAATGCCTTTAAAGTATGTTTAAAGATTTTTTGGAGCATTTTCAAAAAAATGTGACGGACGCGACAAGTTGGGACCCCCTTACAAAATTTTTTTCTTAAAAGATACAAGCCTGATAATTTCTACGGTACTCCCTTACCTTCAGAAGAGATAGGTTACAGTGGTTTTTTGAATATAAATAGCACTATGTGGCTCTGAAAAAACTTTTTTGCTTAATTTTGTGACGGACGTGACACCATCTTTGTGGAAATTTTTTAGAAAAAGTATTTGAGTAACGGTTTTGAAACTTTGCATAGCTCTCATTCTTATGCATATGCCTAATTGTATGGAATTTCATAGAGAAATATTGCTGCATACCCAAACTATGGCCCTTTGAAAATTTGAACGATTTTTTTCATTTCCGAGTAGTGTTCCTTTGAATGAGAAAAATCAAAAGTTAACGCAATATGAAACAAAAAACTTTTGTTGACTTGTAAGGTTAAGAGTCTAATGAACATATTTTAACCAAAATTAGGTGCCTATCTTAACATTTTTCATTTTCACCAAGTGGAACCTTACCGTGGAATTGCCCATAATTAGAACAAAATACAGTCACCTAATTCTCTTCTCCTACGGTTGAGTATAGAGGAACCATTAATGTCTCAAAACTAATGTCAAGTTTGGTCCAGAACCTTCAAACTGTGTTGCTGTAATACCAAAAATAATGTCAACAGTCATATAATACGACTCACACGATGGAATAATAGGGAGATGATAATTATTAAATTTTAAAATGCTGATGATTTAAGTAATTATTAATCATCCACCCCAACTGTGCAATAAAGTACTCTCAATAAAATTATATATATATATATATAAAGCCATGTACTTTTATTTGATTCTGTAAAATGTCTTCCGAAAATTTATCGATTTGGGATCTTTCATTGAATGGGGAGATGAATAAAAGTAAACGACGTACTAGCTCCAAGCTCGGCGCACTTAATCAAATCCGTTTTTTTGGTAAAATACTTTTTGTTTTTTATTAATTTTTAATTCAATAGTAAAATTATTCAAACAATATACACATAATTGTCACAATGACCCTATATAAAACAACCCTTCAAAAAATCAATATATTCCCTATCTCAAATATTGGGAGAAACATTTAAGGACACATTCATTTGAGTTTGAGGATATTGGTAAACAAAAATAATAGCGTTTTTGACGATAGTGGCTTAATTTTGACATCTATTAACCTAGCACGTTCAGAAGTTCTGAACATTAGCCACGTAACCCATACTCCCATATGCACTGCTCAGAAAGAAAATCTATTGTTGTTAGGCACTATAATGTTTCAAATGTCACATTTTTGTGACTTAGTTAACTGCAGTTGTCTAATTATCATTCCTTGGTCTGAAATATAGTAGATTAGGTCAATCTAACAATTATGATACAACATTGGTTAAAGGGCACGGATCGAACGGTTACAAGGCAATATTTAGGTAACTTTGTCACACTCAGAATACCATACCTCTATTCTACTGTGAGGTGTCCTCAAAACCCTTTTTACTCATTATTTGATGGTTGATCTACCAAGTACGGAGTACCAATCATAGCCCTAAAATATGTTGCTTTGAATAGTTAGCTATTACAGGCACTTGGTTTATGGTTATTGGGAAATGAGGTTAATTCTGTCACAATATATGGAATTTAAAATTTTGGGCGAATTATTTATATCTGATTTTGGTTTGAAAGGCGGAAAAACTTTACATGATGACAATGTAGTTGATGCAAGTTAAGATCAGTTGATGTTTACATTGTCACAAAAAATTATACGAAATCGTAAATAGGTTAAAAACAACGATTATATAATGAAATAGTCTCTTATAATAACTCTTATAATAACTGATGTGACAAAGTAAACATGTCTTGCCCCTATTTTGAAGATCTATATATTCTATAACTCTTTTAGAATTCAACATTCTTTGGTAGAATATTGTCCAGAACATCAGAGCTCAAGTTTAGCAATTTTAGGTTAAATTTGTCAAAGTCACTAAAAATGT